GTCTTGGGGGTCAATTCCTCCCACTGATGCCAACAGCAATCAAGGCTCAACTACAAGATAGTGCACACAGCCCACACAGAGGTGTATATGAGACCCCGCTCAGGTGACTGGGGAGGCTGAGCCACTGGGCCCTACAGGACACCTACTACACAAGACCACTCTACCAATTCCAGGAAACATAGAAATTCTACCTAATACATAGAAAAAAACACAGGGAAACAGCCAAAATGCACACAGAAATGTCACAAATGGAAGAGCAGAAGAAATTCTCCAGAAAAAGAAATGGAAGCAAGCAAACTACTATGTACAGAGTTCAAAACAATGGTTATAAGGATGCTCAAGGATCAATGAGAGGTTCAAGGGACTTAGTGCGAATTTCAGGGAACATCAAAGGAACATCAAGGAACATCAAAAACATGAAAAGGACCAATCAGAAATGAAGGATACACTAACTGAAATGAAGAATAATATAACAGGGAATCAACAATAGACTGGAGGAGGCCAAGAATCAAATCAATGATTTGGAAAGCAAAAAACAATCAGAAGAGCAAAAAGAAAAAGGAATCCAAAAATATGAAGGTAGTGTAAGAAGCCTCTGGGACAACTTCAAGTGAACCTACATTTGCATCATGGTGGTGCCTTAGTGCTACCGCAGAGGCAGGAGAGGTTCCTGCCACCGCCACTGTGCTCACCAGCCATGAGTGAGCCCGGCTTCTGGCTGAATGGTGCTCCCACTGTGGGAGCGCACTGACCACCAGGGGGGCAGCTCCTGCACTGAGCATCTGCCCCCTGGTGGTCAGTGCATGATTTGGCAACTGGTTGTTCTGCCAGTCATTCTGCTGTTTGGTCGAATTGCATATTAGGATTTTATATAGATAGTGCAGCTTTGAGCTACAAGTGTGACAGGGAAAGGGGAGGGAAGGGTCTACAGCCTGGCCTTCAGGAGCTCTAAGTCTGATAACAAGATAGCTAATCTTCTATGATGTTACAAATAGCTCAGCCTTTTCCTGGGACCAGAAAATGGTCAGCATTCCTGAGGCAAACTCTTGCGGGGAAGGGAGGTGTCAGTGTCTTAGCATAGCAACCAAGTCAAAGTGTGTCCTGTCCTTGGTCAGTTCTGAAAATGTATTTCTTTTCTGAGTAATGGACCCATCGAGGCATCTTATCATTTTACAATCATTGTTTCATCCTCCAGTTTCCAAGGGTCTGTACGAAACTTCTTATCTATAGTTAGTGAGGTGAATACTTATTAAACAATTGTGTCTCTATTCTTATTATGTGCCCTTCCCCACTATCATTATGACAGGCATGTCCTCGGAGCTGGGATGGCTCAGCAGGTAATACATAACAAATCTACTCTAACTTCTCATCTCCCTAAATCTTTCTATTCCTTTCTCTACAAGTAAGAGGGTCCTTATGTTTATCTGGATAAAGAAAACTTTCTGTGAAGCAAAGGCCCTTTGGTGAGCAGTTACATAGGACACAAATATTCTGACACTATGAGTTCATTCTGAGAGATCCCTTCACATAACTCTTTCTCCAGAACAACCTGTTACCAATCCTCATCTTATCCCTTTCATGCTCATTGACTGTCCTGCCAAATCATTAGCCCAGATCTATGTCTTATAATAGAGCTGCTCCACAGGCATCTCAACTCAGCGTAGGCCAGAAGTGAATCCAATTTTCAGTCTACCAACAACCAAAAGAGAAAATAATTAGAACTCTACCAACTGCACGTGACAGCACATTGAGTCCAGAATCTCTGTGAAGTGCACCTATATAATAATAAACTGAAGTTTATATTCTTCCATCTCCGATCTAGTATACTCATAATTCAGTTCCATGTATATTGCTCAGGTTCTTGCTGATGAACACTAGTGCAGTTTTGTAATTCTTGCCATGCAGCCTTCTTGCTCCCCAATTAGACTTGGCAATTGGCCCCATGGATGTTTTAGGATTTGTCTGCAGTTATAGATATGGAGGCAATGAAGGAGAGTGGAGCAGGGCATGAGGAGAATTGGTACTCACTTGGCAGGAAAGCACCTCAAATGGGATCACTACAGGGTCTTTAAGCAAGGCAGGCTCATCATCAGCCAGGGAGGGTAAGTCTTCTTTTGCTGTAACAGAGGCTCTGTGGTGTTTGAGTTAGCAGATACTTGGAGTCATCTGAATCTTTCTGGGTTGACCATCACAATTCTTGAGTCCCATTCTTTCCCACTTGATATCCTGTCCCTTTATCTTCCTCACTTTTCCCTGAATGTCTGTCCTCTTGTCTGTTTTTATCTCTTTCTATTGCTCTTTTTTTTGGTGTGTTTTTCTTTTAATCAGTTCCGCTTTTCTCTCTGTATTTGCTCATCTGTCTTTTCTGCTGACCACCTTGTGTTACAGGATTATAATTTCGACCCAGAATAAAACTTTTGTTTATACAAAGTTTCCATGGTGCCAACACCCCTACCCTCAACAATCTACACACCTTTCAGTTAAAGTGCCCTAACTCCCTGAACCTTTGTCTAAATTCTTGAGGGACTCTGATGGACCCACTTTGCCAAAGTCCACCCTTGGTCCAAACTCTAAGGATGACAGGGTTACTTAGTATCTAGGACTTCCCCTTTTCTGGGTTGTGGCTAGAGATTTTCTCTAAGAGAAGGATTTGAGTAGGGAGAATCCAGTCCTATCATAGTGTCCTTCTTGCTCTTCCTCAATATGCCATTACTTCTTCAAGGCCTTTGCACTCTCTATAGGCTTGACAGTCAGTCAAGGTAAGTGAGGTAAATTTGCACACAGGTAAGGTAGATTATTCATCTTTGTTTTTCCAGCACCTAACTTAGTGGATGGCATATAGTAGAACTCAAACGAGTATTTGGATAAACAATAGCTCTCTTAAAAAAAACTGGAGATGTTAGCCAGTCACATGGTTAGAATATAAGCCTTCATTGTGATGTAGTTGCCCCAAACATCTAATGTTACCTGTATTAATAGATGTGTATTGTTTGGAGAAAGGCTGATCCTAGTTCTTCTAGTCACACCACTTCTGGAATGTTGTATTTGGCTCTAGGTATCACATATTAAGAGGGATTCAGATCTACTGGTGCATTTCAGACAAAAGATATTTTTCAGAAGAGGAAACACAGGGTAGTGCAAGAAGAGACTATGGCCTGTGAGGAGCAGCTGAAGAAACTGAGAATCTTTAGCCTGATGAATACTTACTTGATGATTGGGGAGGAGAGGTGAAAGCTCTCGACAAATAGCAAACAGTCTGCAACGTGAAAGAGGGGGTTACGCTTATTCTTGTGAGCTAGAAAGAAAAGAACCAAGGTGGGAGGCGGTTTCAGAGAAGAAGCTGTAGTTGGGTATATGTAAGAATTCCCTAAACTAGTGTTCTGCAGAACACTACACCATGTTAGGCTATACAAAGTGTTTTTGCTGCAAGATTTCTCAGAATCTTTAATATGCAAATGTTAAGAAAAAGATATAATATGCCCCATTCCCCAAATATATTTGTCTATACAAACTTTTATTCACCGAGCACTGTTAACATCTCTTCAAACAATATTTCATTGACCAGATTGAGTTAAAGCTGCTCTGGTTCACATCAAGACACAGCATCTGGGGAAACTGGGTGGTGTGCTGTCACTTCAGTACTTCTGAAACCTTGGTCACTAAAACTAAAGTATATGATGTTTGGGAAACTGGAGCAACTTCTCTTACTTGTTATGTTTAGTGTGAGATGGAACCCAGTTCTAAATGACAATAATGGAGCAAAACCAATGAAAATGAGGCTCTCTCGTACAGTGGTTCTGAACTTTTTTCCCTAGCAATACATCATAATGACATTCCCATTCCTGTCCAAGGATTCATTTATTGTGTGCAAGGTAATGTTTCTCACCTTTTCATTGACACAGAAACAAACAAACAAAAAACCCTCAGATTGTTCTAGGATCCTCATATGGAACCATTCCCCTCCATTTGAGCATCACCATTTTAGAAACTCAAAACTATAGTATTAATATAACTTTTTAATAAGAAAGAAATTCCCAGGCCTAAGTGAAAAGATGGTATTTAAAAATTGTGAGGAAAGTAAGATAAGAAAAATTATCAAAATGAAGCCACTTAAATTGGGGGAAAAGGAGACATATGTAAAACTTTAGACAATAAAAAAAAATCTAAAAAAATGAAGCCACTTATTTGAGGCTGAAGGGAATAAAACAAAAAAGGAAGATGGATTCATAAAAAGATTGCTGTTATTAAATATTTGTTGCAATAAGTAAGACATGATGTAATAATGAGAAAATGCTGACCCAACAACATTGAAAGGACAGGGTTTCAAAATTATAATTAGTGTCTATACAACTGTTCACAGGACATAAGCCAGAGCTGAAGCATTGTAGTCACTAAGAAGAATGTGCACTACAGAAGAGGGATTCGTCAGGATTTTCACAATTTATACCCATTCCTGTTTCCCAGAACCAGATGTACCAGTGTGTATTATCTTTAATTTGATTTCCAAAGATCTATCAGTGCTGAGAAAAGGATGTTTGGGTTGGTAGATAAAATAGTGTAATTATAAGAAAGATGTATCTTCTCCTGTGTTAATAAAATGTCAGTCTGTACTGAAAAATTTACTAAGGTTTTATCAAACTTGGATAGTTGATAAGCCAGACCCTAGACCAGATCACACCAGATATACCAATTCTTGAGGTCCTTGTGAATAATTCAATTGCGTTGCTAATGAAGAAACGTGAAATACCATTTCTCTCTTATTCTGCAATTTTGCCCCTAAATCAGCACCTCAAAAAGTTGGTCTTCTGTTCTAAATAGCAGGTAAAGGAATTCCCACATAATTTTGCATACGCACAGAGACAAATATCAATTATACATTTGTGTTTTCTTGGCCATTTGGAGACCCCAGGCCAGTTTCACCAACACAACACATGGTTTACTGAGTTCACTGATAAATGGGAAGACATAGAGTCTCGGGGCCTCACTCTTTAACGGACTGGAAAATACAGAACTGCCTCTATCATGGGAGAAAAGTGGAGGAGACCAGCTCATATATGATGCCACCTCACTCCCCTAACCAAATGGAAGGAAAAAATGCTTGAAGTTCAGTGATGGCCAAGACCAGAGTCAGGAATCTGGAACTGGGCAGAGTCCCAGGAGTCATTAGAGCTTTGTGTTCTTGGTCTCCAGGTTTATTGTGTCCTCTTGGATATGGGGAATCTTCTTAGCTGCTGGTTCCTGAATATCCTCTGACTTTAGAGGAACATAGTAGTAGCCCATGATGGAGAAGATCAGGCAGACCAGCAGCAGGAGACAGGAAAACAAAGTGAATTCGACCCACTGCAGGAAGAAATATATATAAGAAAAAAATATGGTGAAATCTAAAACTAAAGGGATCTTCAAAGGGTGAGAATGGAGGAGCAGATTGACCCAGGCTCGCCATTTAGACAGAGGTTGGCTAGGAGAAGACTGGGCTCACTCACCTTTCCTCACATGGGTATATGGTGGACATTACTGATATTTACATATGTCTATTTTTCTAGCAAGGTCTGTGTGCGTCCAACTCGTCTATCATGGGGAATGTGGAAGACAGAGGGATGGAGGAGGAGGAAAAAGAGGAATTTGAAGGGGAAACCTTGGGTAGATTACAAGCTCCTCTTTCTCTTGGATCCATACCTGTACCAGGTCGCTGAACTGTGCCACAGTAAGCACAATGAAATTGCCAACTCCAATTGTCAACAACCAGGCTGCCTGGAGTACAGATTTCATGCTAGAGGGAGCCTAGAGAGGACACAAGTTTGTCAGTAAACAAAATCCCTACACTACTCTCATGCCCCATGCATCTATCCAGAAAACTTCTTCCACAAAAGTTTCCAGATTCAACTTTTCCCACTGAGTTCAGCTATCACATTGACTCAAGGGGTATTAATTATGTTAATAGTAATAACAGAATGGAGCTCTTATTAATCAAATATTATAACTCATATAATCTTCATTACAACCCTAAGAGATAAGTTCTATTAATATTCTTATACATAAAAAAATAACACTAGAGAAATGATTATTCACTTGCTCAAGATTACACAAAGGGATGTGTGGCCAAAATTTGAACATAGGCAGTTTGACTCCACAGCCCTTATTCTTAATTTTTAAGTATCTTTTCCTATAAATCAAATACCATAGACTACTATGCTGCACTTCCATGATCATGGGAATCAAGATGACTCTCTGTTTAGGATCATGTATAAGGAATCTAAAGCCAAAATATATGAAGGTCTTGGCCAGGTCACATATCTATTTCAGGCAGTGCCAGGAAAGTAATTCACATCTTCTAAGCCCTATCTCCACCTCCATTTCCCACCTGCAAAAACCTACCTGAGAATAAGAAAATTCAAGCCCTGTGACAGAGAACATGACCTCCCCAGCTGTCACCAGCACATATTGTGGTAGCTGCCATGCAATGGATATTTTGTTGGCCGGAATGTCTTCTGTCTTCCAAGCCTGGGGACCCTGACGGGTGCTCTTAGTGAGGAAAGAAGAAATTGGTTTGTCAGTAGTCCCAAGTAAATATTCCTTACCTATAGCATTCTATGATCTTATGTCCATCCCATCTTTATATTTTTATCCTTTTACTACCTTCAAGAGATTGAGCAATTTCTACAGTTTCAGGGTTTTTGTTTGAAATTTCTTTTGGTAACACTGCACTCACTAGCCTGACTTAGGATATTGACATTAATATAGTCCTTAAATGGCAAAATATTTTGTTATTATATGTCAAAATGACAAATAATCTTTGTTTTCTTAGGGCCATAATGAGACTGAAGGAGACCATGTCACCTCATAGCAATGACTCAAGATAAATTAGCTCTTCCATTTTCCCAGATCCTGTGCCTGCTACCAATGATATCTCTTTTTATGTCCCATATGGAGACCTCAGTCATAAAGTCACTAGAATCTATCATCTTACACTAGAAATAAGTATGTGATCCTATCTTGCTACAAAATCTTCTTCTTTGGATTCCAGGATAGACACAGACATAGATACAGCTACATGGTAGGAGAGTGCAGGGGTAGCCATGAGCTACTTACATTAGTAATAACAAACAGATAAGCTGCACCAAAGTTTAGTAGACCCAAATTCAGCAAAAAGTCATCATCTTCTGTTTTACAATGTACTGCAGAGTATCTGGAACAGGAGGAGGTTAGGTTAGAATAAACATCACAGCTTAGAAAAGCACCCCCATTATCACAAGAAAGAGTGATCTCATCTCTTTATTGATGGTGAATCGAGCAGCAAAACCACCCATTTCTCTTAAAGAGAGAATTCTCAAGGAGTAAATTATTTTCAGGCCAGATTTTTCTGCCCCTGGTCTGAGCCCCTTATTATCTGTCTGGTATCTTTTTTTTTTTAACTTAAACCTGAATAAAGAAGGCACAAATCATCTTTTATGGACACCAGGCTCTTAAGTCTTATTAATTTTTCTCAGCATAAAACGGTGAACCCAAAAGAATAAGCCTGAAGTACTGATGTGCCAGTAGGCAATACCAAAGGATAGAAGTGGGAGTCCATAATAAACTTTGCAAACCTCCCAGAGATGGGTCTTTTTAACTTCATAGCAATCATGATCTCAATATACCTGTGTAGAGAAAGGTGAGACTAAGGGAAGGAGGCAAGGGTCAAAAAAGAGCTGGAGTCTGTGTATACTCAAGATTAGCCAAGATATACCCACTATCTTGATATACCGCCACCTATATGCAAAGAAAGCATTTTAAAATTTGTTGATAAAAGTAAAATGTTCAAAGGGTAATGAGTGTACTTACTCTCCTGTTGGTACAGTTCTGTAAGCAGACACACCATAGTCTTCACCAACATTAAGTGAGATATCTGCACCCAGGTTGATGTTGACCTCTTTATGCAAAGTGTTAAGGAACCTAAGGGTAGAGACATAGTTACAGATCAGACAAAGCTTCCCAAGCAACAACACATGATAAAAGGGTAAGGGGCTTTTTCTTTTGTTTGCCATTATATCCCAGTGCCTAGAACAGTGCCTGGTACATAAAAGGTACATCATGTGTATTGTTAACTGAAGGAATGAATCAACTCAAATGTAAAAAGTATCAGTAGTCTTCTTAGCTGTCCCTAACGTTCTCATTCCTAAGGGAATAGCTTTCTATCTGCCATACCCTCACCTGATCTCTAGCTGGATGGACACTATCCCATGGCAGTCTGAGTTTCCTCCCTAATCCAGCTTAGGTGCATCCACTACCTTTCCCTCTTATAATGGTGGGGTTCACCAACTGCTACTCCATTAAGAAAAATGATTATATAAATATATACCAGTATGCTCAAGCCTCAGAGGGAAGGTAGGGGTAAGGGAGAGAGATCAACCAAAGGACTTGTATGCATGCATATAAGCATAACCAATGAACACAGACACCAGGGGAGTAGGGGGGGGGACAGCCTATGGGGGAATAAGGACATATATGTAATACCTTAATCAATAAAGAAAAAAAACCTGATACTTTATCTTCTTATAAATGATTTGACTTATGCAAACTCAGACTCCCAGCCCATAATAGATCCATCATTATTATGGAGTCTGCAGACAATCCTGGACCCTTCTAGAATGATCTTTTTAGTCTTCTGAACCTAGGCCTCTTAAGTATGGGCTTGGGGTACATTTCTATTTTGATAGCTTGTGCTTTTGTCTTTGGCCCATGGCATAAAAAGGGCGGTTCCCTCTAGAATCCTTAAATTGACTCCTGGACTTTTTAAATAATCCTGCGCTAATCTAGAAGTTTCCTCTTCCATCCCTTCTGAAAGTTCCTGTGGCTCTCCAACCCAGGAAAGTCCTATCAACTTTTAACAACTACCTACTAGTAATCTTGATGGCCAAACGCATGTGCATCTATCCATTTCATGTCAGATTCCTGCCACAGAAAGCAGGTGACCTCTTCAGTGCCCCATCTCTGAAACTGTCCCAGGCTGTCTGACAAGACCTTCAGACTTTTCTGAATTCACAACCAAGTCTTTTGACTCCAAATTATCACCTTTACTACACCAAGATGCCTCTATGAGTTTAAAATAAAAACTATACTTTAAAAACACAGTAAAAATAGAAGCTCAACTACCAACAATGAAGCATTTTTTGCTTACTTCTAAATTTCTCTCTGATAAAAAAAAAATTCTCTCTGGTCATCAGAGAGGGGAAAGTACTGAGTTATTTTCCTGAGAACAAGATAAGTGGATAAAATTCGGTATAGGAAATGCATGCATCAGAGCACAGGAGACATACACAGACACAGAGTCATCTTTGAATGCCACATGGGAAAGCAAGCCTATCTGCTCTGTGTCCTGGAAAATGCCTTCTGACACCCATGCCCCTGACATCCCAGGAGAGAATCCCTGCACAAGACAAGTAGAATGTTAGGCCTCATTATCCGAAGCCCCACAGATCAGAAGAGGCCCAAGATTCATGAAAACAGAGTGGCCTGGGATTTCCTTGACATCCAAACCTCACGGCTGTCATCCCATTGGTGGTTATGTTTTCTGCATCCTTCACCTAAAATAAAGGAAAGTAAAATTCAGTTACAGCTGACAACAGGGAACCAATAATCAGAAAAATTTATCATTAGGCATATCCTTGGTAAGCTATTGATGAGCCAGTCATCACACTCTAAGGTAACAATTTGGAACCAAGACCACTCCTCAACTTACCATCATGCTGGAAATACTTTCCCCATCTTCTCGAATGATCAGACTGTACCACTTCTTCTCCTCCACAGAATGCTCAGTGTAGACAGACAAATTGTGATATTTCAGGTGGAAGTGAAAATCCTGGCTTTTTGTCTTCAGGTGAAGTTTGGAATAGTGTGGGATTTTCTGTAGAATGAAAAACCTGTCACACTCACCTTCTACCCCATTTTGGACATCATAATCCCATAGCTTCCCATGTGAGTAACCTCAACATTATCTGTTAAGCTAGTAATTCCATTTTTATGAATATACTTAGGAGTAATTAGAGGGACGCATAAATATTCATGAGTAAGGATATTCATCATAGGATTTACATATTATAATACTTATCATTACAATAACTTCTGATTTTAAAATTATTGCCATTATACAGATGCTTAAATTGAAGTTTAGAGATAAAATAACTTGTTCAGGGTCTTATAGCTAGGGAGTGACAGAACTGGAAATCGGACTGCGGCAGTTTGACTCCACAAATGCATAATGTAGTTAACCACTATATTATGCTGCTGTTTTGGTGCATAATCAGAATGTGTTTCTAATTCTTTCAAGTCCATATCTCACCTGAAAAGATCTGATGGACTCTGGCAACAAAGAATTGTTGTCATCTCCCACCACTGTCACCTTCACCTCATCATCTGCCAGATTCAAGACTTGTAGGAAAATCTCTTGGGGACCTGGCTGGGGTGGAGCCATTTCCTTAGGACAGAGAACACATGTTAGAATCACTAATAAACAACCCTGTGGATACAAGGAGAACAGATATCTCAGTCCTATCTCTGACAGCCTAGTCCATCTAATCAGGACAACACAGTTTTCTCCCACTAAAGACCATTTGGCTTAGGAAACTCTGAAGTCAGTCTAGAGGGGGAAACACCAGATCAATGCAGCAAGCACAGGTGTCAGGTAACAACCTTCATACGTTTTAACTCAGCTGTGGCCTCGTACATCATTCCCCAATAGTGGCCATTCAATCTGTCAAAGGGTATATGTATAAGTATCTGGTAAGGTATCATATGAGCTTGTGTTTCCAAAGAGATGGCTGGATACCTTGATATAAGTGTTTGGAAATTTCTTGACAATATATTCTGAATCACTCAGGTGGGAGCTGAGCCTCCTTTTCATTGCTGCTCTACCTCTGTACCTACTCATTTGTCACAAATATGAGTTATGCACCTTCTTTAAAACAGGTACTGTGCTAGGTCCCAGGGAACCAGAAGAGTGAACAAGATAGATAAGGTCCTGTACTCATGGAGCTTAAAAATGATTGAACTCACATTAATTTTTGTCTCTACAACTGCCACAACTGCAAATGCCAGGCACGCTAGGATCATACCAACAGCCATTTTTCTAAGCGATCTGCCGAGAAGAGGGAGAGACATTTATATCTAAACTTTAGAGTTTAAAGGATAAAATTCACCCCCCGCCCGCCCCGGCCTACCAATAAAGACCTTTCCTGATTTGGCCCCAATTACTTTCCAAAGTATTTCCTAGAACTCCCCTTCACACATCTTTTCTTCTCCCTTTACTTGAGTCGCACTGAATGGTTCTTTGTAATGCACCACATTCTCCACATCTATCTTTGTTTATGTTTTTTCTATTCATCACGTCATAATAACAAGAAGAATAGTATGCAGTCAGATTAATTGAACATTCACCATATGCCAGGCGCTATATATTATTACTTCATTTTCCTCTTGTTCAGAAGTTTTTCTTGACCCTGGCAGCAGACTTCTCTACACTTCCCTGCCACTTTACTCCCCTATTAGGGCAGCTAACATATTTTACCTCCTGTAATAATTATATGTGCACACATTCCACCTCCTTATTAAACAGTAAACCTCTTGAGGGCAAGATTTGTGCTTTTACATTTGCATGGCTTGTTGCTGAACCCACTTCAATGAATGAGTAAATGATAAAAGGCCATTTGAATCTGGTAAAGTGGTCATTAAATGGAAATTGCTTAATAACCGGGAATTAAGAGGCTTAAAACACTCCTCTGTCAAACTTATCAAAGAATAACAACCACTTCTATGGGAGAAAGCAGTAAATAGGGACAATTCTATCCCCACTCTTACCAGGCCCCCTTACTTGTTTTATAGGGACAATAGGAGATTTAAAGGGATTCATTGTCATCAAAGGCTTAGACTTCTTTGAAGAGGCAACATTCAAGAACAAAGCAATAAGTTGGTTTAGGAGGCCACTCTCACATACTCTTGAGTTTCCATGAAACTTAGACATACCCCTTCAACATTGCACAGTTCAGACAGCAGTAATGGCTTAGACTCCCTACAATAAGAATTAATTCGTTCTAATTCCCATCCTCTGGTATTCATGATGTGTAGTCTAACGTGGGTAAATAGAACCAGAAAAAAATTATAAAACCAAAACAAATCATCACTAGGTAGAAAACTACTGACATTGAATCTTTATCAGACGGGGCAAAGATTGAGTCAATCTGGAGGAATACAGGCGTATGAGCACTTACGAGAAGTTGATTCCACACTTGGAGACCAGAGGATAAATGACAAGGTCAAACAATGGGATGAAGATAAGAACCAGAAGGGGATTTAGTACCTGCAATACCATAGTAAAGAAGATTAGTTACAAGTGTTCTCCGATCATGAGTGTGAGCATGTGCTCTCATTTGCTTTTGTGCCTCCTTTCTCACATCCAAAGACACTTTTCTCATACAAATTACAAAATGATTCCATATCTCTTAGTCTCTTTACACCTAAGACTCTATTTCCCTTGCATAGCACCTTAGTTTCCAGATATCCCAAGGAACCAGTTTCACTCTGAACCTGTTTTTCTGTCAATCAATTGGGTGTTCCCGTTTTCACTTGTCATGTCCATTTCCACAGCCCAAAGGAAAATGTCAAGGCCAGAAGAAATGGAAGGAAGAATTGGGGATTCTTGAACAAAGAGTTAAAAAAAAGAACTAAGAGTCACCAATGAATAGAGATTCTGACTTCGTTGCTCATACAACAAAGTCTTCTACTTTCGTTGACAACACTTCCATTATACTGTGCCAAGGATAAAAGTCCAATGCTTATACTTTTCCTGTGAGCTCAAAACTTACTTTCCCTGGAGTTGGTCAGGAGCTACTTACTTAACAGAAGATGTAAAAGAGAAGTGTGGAGCTGAAGGAGAATATGTTCATCCCTATGCTTAGCACTCTTCAGCATACAAGGGAAAATAACATCAAATTATGGTTGGCAATCCTACTACTACAGGTAGAGGTATAAATGAGGAAAGAAATAAGTCCCCATGACTACAAAGAAGTGTCCTACCTGCATCTGGTCCGGCTGAAGCACAATAAAACCCTGAAACATTATAATAAATTAAATTTAGAGGTAGCTAAAGACAAGAAAAGCCTAAATCAACAATCTTGGTAATTAACAGGCAATAAACATACTAGTAAGTTAAAATTCACCAGGTCTTTGGTTCAGCCATTTTTATGCTTGTAAGGATATGTGGGCTGAACAGACTGTTAATGGCTTCAGGCTATGTTTGCTGAAGGCAGATGCCCTAAGGCAGAATATTCTTTTCTATGTACTATACTTTCCTTAACCTCGGAGAGAATAGTCAGTGTGTTTTTATTCATCTCAGTAACTGCAGTCATAGGTAGTAATTATGTGAAGGACAAGCTATCTGGTTTAGGGTAAAGATTCCCACTGATACACAGAGTTCTCCAGAGGGTCAACAGGAGGGTAATCATGGTAAATCCTGGACAATCAGAGGATGGAAAAAGGTTAACTTATATTTGACAGGCTGCAAAGAGGCTAGCTAATAAGACCCTACCCTCTTCACAACTGTGATGGCAGAAAAACAAGACAATAATCTAGAAAGTGAAATGATTGAGAGCAGAGATGGAACTTTATGTGAGTTTGCCAAAGAATGGAGGTTGGAAAAAGAGATAAAAATGCTTACAACTTTCCCAAGTTTTCCATATCCATGTACAAAATATTCTATGTGCAGATCCTCTGCTGTGAATCTTGACTGGGATGGGGCCAGTCGTGTACTAGCACCATTAAACCTGTCTCTGCTGTGCGGGGCAGGCATAGATGGAAGAAAGCCATCACTATCCCAGGTCTGTATCCCTTTGTTGTCCTCTCAATACTTCCTTGTACACATTTAAACCTTCCCCATCCTTCTGTTCCTGATTTCTAAAGGTAAGACTCTGGTTTTTATTTCTAGACTAGATTTCTTTATTTTGCCTACTCAGTATTTGCATGCTAAAGGACCTGTCTTATGACCTTAAGTCCATTTTCAGGCAAAAACACAAAGGAATTAATTTTTCCCAAGTATGGATTATAAAGAAAATAACAGACTTCTCTGGAAAATCTCTTCCACTCACCAAATTCCTGTTCATCCTGGTGGCTTGCAAGGTCCATCGTGAGCCCTAGGGCAGACAGATGCCGTTAGGAGAAATCCCTTTTTTGTGAGAGTATAAAGGCTGGGGCGGGGGGGGGGGCGGCTTTCAAAAGAAGTATTCTTACCTGCTGTTCTAGAAGGGCCCAGAACATGGGCAATGGGATATAGAGGAATAGTATCCTGGTCAGTGCCTTCACATCCATAATGAGCTGCTTCTGCAACACAAGGGAAAGGAGGAACAGGCTAAATGGGTAGACACGGTTTTCATGCTTGGAGTAGAGGTAGCCCAGAACAGTAAGAGAAGAGGTTAAATGCCGCAGGAGGGAATCGGTTTGGATATTAGGAGAGATGTTACAGAGATATTTATAAGATATTTCTGAAACTCCAACTTACTGGGTATTTCTCAGCTGCCCAGTCCAGCCAGTGCTGTCGCTTTGGAATGTCCCCAGAACGGTTCTTGAAACGGTTGGAAAGAGCGAACTAGGGCAGAGATAGACCTCAGAGGAGAGACAAAAAGAAACCTTCCCCTGCCTTTTTCTTTTTTTATTATTATTTTTTATTGATTAAGTTATTACATATGTGTCCTTATCCCCACATTACCCCCCCCCCACTCATGCCCTCACCCCCCTGTTGTCTGTGTCCATTGGTTAGGCCTATATGCTTGCATATAAGTCCTCCCCTGCCTTTTTCAATTCATCATCCCTTCTCTGAAACAGATATACTTCAAGTGACTTATTCCGATGCTTTGATTTAATCAGACATTACATTTCAAAATATTTCAGATATAATTTTATTTATCCTTATGTCTTTTAAAAATTTAAAAATTTAATTTAATTTCCATCACCATTTATTCTCCCTATACCCTTTTCCACCTCCACCTCACAGCCACCACACTGTTGTTCGTTCAATGAGTTTTTTCTCTCTTTTTTCTCTTTTTTGCTCAATCCCTCCACCCCACCCCCACTCTCCCCAACTGCCAACAGCTGTCATCCTGCTCTGATTGCTTATTTCACTTAGCATAACGTTCTCCAGGTTCATCCATACTGTCACAAAGGGTAACATTTTCTTCTTTTTTACAGCTGAGTAGTATTACATTTTGTAAATGTACCATTGCTGTTTTATCCACTCATCTACTGATGGACACTTATAACTACATTTCAGAAGATTTTTTCCAATTTAAAAAATGATTATGTTTTTCTTTTTTACTTAGAAGTTAAGTAGGGGAACAGAGGAAGACTGATTAATTTCAATTTGCCAAAAGGCACAGATGTAGAACAGAGGTCATTGAGAAAAATGTAGATCTGTGTTTGAAGGTCTCTATGCTGAGCATAGCATCTCTTTGTCTTTGATTGAAAAAGGCAGGTAAACAATTCATGAACTTACCCAGATACATTTGATAACTTGAGTCACTATGTTTCCTTCTGGAGGTGTTTTGTTGTACATTTTGCTTCCCATTGCAAACACAACTGCAGTTGATACACAAACAAGGTTCTTAGCTTCTCATTCAGCACATTCAGTACCCAAGGCTAAGGACAGACTGCTGATGTGTAGGAGTGACTGGCAGATCATCTCGTCAAGGGAGGAACCTCACTTAACACTTCCTGACTTGAGAGTTATAAAAGTTGTTAAAAGAATTAAATGGCCATTTGTTAAAAGAGATATCTGTTGAGACTTTTCTGAAATCACAAAAATGGAAGTCATCTTTGAGTTCTCACTCTTCTTTCTCCATCTCCACATCTGATATGTTACCAGCTTTCATTGATCCTCTTGCTTCAGTCGGCCGCCTCTTTTGCTACAACTCTTACTTAGGACCTCACAGCTTCTACCCTGGGTTATTAAAATGGCCATCATCTAGTTCCTCAGTCCCTGGTCTATTCTTCCCCTATCTGATGCCAAATTAAAACTTTCTTTTCAGGACCTACCTAATAAACCCAAGCCCCTGCCATGAAATACCATCCCAAATTAATTATTGTTTTGATGGTTATTATTATTACTATCTATTGAAGGTTTATTCTTATATGTAAAGTGTTAAGCATTTTACATACATGAACTGATTTAACCTGACAAAATATGTACCACTCTCTCCACTTTACATACAAAGAAATAGAAGATTAAAGAAATTAAGCACCAGGTACAAGGTTAGAAAGCTAGAAATTGCCAGAAACTACACTTTAGACTTGAGGCCTGTCTGATTCAAAAATCCATGCTCTTAAACATCAGAAAGCTTCTCATTCACTCCTTCTTGCATTAAACCTTGTGCTAGATACTACTAGGAATAAAGTTAAAAAAAATAAATACGTGGCCTCTGTCCACAACGTAGCTCACCTCAGCTTACCATTTCCCACTTTATGTTTCATTACAGAGAGTAATGCTCTAACCACTATTCATCATTCCTACAAAAAATTATCTTCTGTACTATTTCTGTTCTTAAGCTTATTCTTTTCCCTTACTCTACATCTTCATTCTTTAAGCACATCTCCTCAGCTAATTGTGGACACATTTTATTTTCTTACTTTTCCTTATACTTTCCAAATAATCAGCAATGAGCTGATAATACTTTTATAATTATAAAGTGCTTTTGATTCAAGTCAATTAAATTTAGCTAAAATCAATGGGGAGACTCCAGCTTAGATGTACTTTCCTGCCCAAGGGATTTTCCTGCTCCAGCAAGATGTCCCTCTAGCTGATCCTTTACCAAAGATGCCTTTTCAGTAGCATTTCCAATATCTGTACACACGAGAATGCCTAAATCACCTTAATTTCACTGACCTTAACTGTTTAATTTCTCCATTCCTCTCTGTCAGATTCACTCTACCACCTTTTCTTTACTCATCCTCAGTTTCCCCAATGCTCCTCCAAACAGTACTCTTTACCAACTACAACCTTCTTATTGTTGATAGAAAAAAAATGGTTCAGGAAAAGAATGATAATTCTGGGAGACAAATGGGTAAATAAAGGGGTATCTAGGCAAGAGGAAGATCTTGGATAGGGAATAAACTGCCCCTGAAGCTGAGAATGATCCTAGAAAGAGGCTGGGAAGCTCAGGAATTCTGATCTCAATAGTGACATTGGAATGATGAAAGGAAGGCCAGGTAACCAACTCAAAAAGGTCACATTTAAATTTCAAGGCTACTTCTGAAGAGTAGGGACCTTGAGTTTCTAGTATATTCTCCCCGTTGATGTAAGAAATGTTCAGATCTGTAGGGAATTGTATAAGTTCATTTGAGCCAAACTGATGACAATGCCAGGAAGCAAGACTTCTAATGCTCTGGGGAATGATAGTCATGTGGTTTCTTATACACATTTGGAGTTAAGAAGGAGACATAAAGAATCTTACATAAAGACGGAGAAAGCAAGGCGGGGATTGGATTACAGGATAGTTAGCAAGATCATGTGCTCCTCTGAGGGTGGTTACACCTTTGCGGGGTCTGGAAAAGAGGCATTTCAAAGTTGTATTAACCTAGATGCACAAAAACAACGGACAGGGCTTGTGGAAGGCAAAGATAACATTTTTACTAAAGCAGTTATATGCCTGGCCAGTTAGGAATTTATGACCAGATGACTCTGGGAGGTTACTTTCAGTCACTGAACATGTCAGATTTATTATAGAACCCCTTTCCATCATATCCTGGTGATGTTGCCTCTTACATCATGAAAATGGAATCTCCCCCCATCTTCCTGCCATCAAACCTATTAATTCCTGTATCCACACCCATCTTCTCCTTCCTCCAGGTATGTGAAGGTAATATTCTTCCTCCTGTACAAAGGTAATTCTGCCATGTGTGCTTTCATACTGATTTTATTATCTTCAACTTGCATCTTCAGCCTCTTTCTCTAAGGGAGTCTTCCCAATAATATTCAAGCACGCTTCATACCATCTCTTGACTCCATGTTACCTTTCAGCTATAAATACTGTTTTCCCTTTCCTACTTAAAATATTATACATATATATATATAATATATATTTCAGAGAGGAATGGAGAGGGAGAGAGAGATAGAAACATCAATGATGAGAGAAAATCATTGATCAGCTGCTTCCTGCATGCCCCCCACTGGGGATCCAGCCTGCAACTCAGGCATGTGCTCTGATTATGAATTGAACCATGACCTCCTGGTTCATAGGTCAATACTCAACCACTGAGCCATGCCAGCAAGGCCTCTCTTTCCTACTTCTTATTCACTTCCCAATCTTTTCCAATTAATCTTAAATCTCCACCAATCTACCATAACTGATGTCATCAAATTAATGACCTTCTTGTTGCTATATTTACTGGACATTTTTTACCTCAATTTCCCACTCAGTGACATTTGTCACAGAATGATTTCCTTTCTTCTTAAAATCTCCTTGGTATCCAGGAGAGCACTACTGCCACTTCGGCCATTCCTTTTTAGTCTCATTTGTGAGCCCTTCCTCTTTGCCTATCTTTTAAATGCTGGTGTTCCTCGGGGTTTTATCCTAGCCTTCTTTTTGCTTTATTCTTATTATCTCTTAGTTATTTTCACTACAGTGGGGCCTTGACTTACGAGTTTAATTAGTTCTGAGACCGAGCTCGTTAAGGAGCTCGTTAACTCAAATTACTCTGTCAACTCAATGCAAAAAATCCGCTGAGAGACAGCTGGTATCTCAAAAAACTCATTAGTGGGGATACTCGTAAGTCAAGGCCCCACTGTATTTTCATGGCTTAATTACTATCCTTATACTCATAGCTCCAGATATTTCTCTACAACCCAACATTTATTCTGAGCTCTAAACCTGTACTTCCAAATAACTGCTTGGAACTCTATATGTTCCAAGATATCTAAAATATAACATATTCAAAACTAAATTTATTGGTATTGCCCCAAACCTGTTCTCCCTCGTTATCTTAGTCAATAACCCCACTCTCCACCCAGCTGCTCAAAGTCAGAACCCTCACTTCACATATTTAATCAATTAAGTTTTATCAGTTCTACCAAGTGAGACAAGGTGAGCTGAGTGAGTCACTCACCTTGAGCACAAAATTTAATGAAGTGCCAAAATTTTAGTGCTCAAGATAAATAGTATTCTTCACTCACCTTTAACCCACCCTTTGCCCACATTATAGTTACTGAAAAATAAAAATCTAACAATCATTCCTTTGTTCAAAATCTTTTTGTAGCTCTCCACTTTTCTCTCCTGGTAAAGTTCTAATTCTTTAATTGCTTAAAGGCCTTTCATTATCTGGTTTCTGTCTATTCCTCTTCTTTATTTTTCTCATTTATGCTCCAGGCAATCAGAATTCTTTTAATATCTTTGAATATGTCATACTAACTCTCACTCCCTTGTCTTACAGATACCATGTCCTATTTCTGTTTCACTTCCAATCTCTTCTTTGATTAATTGCTGTTAATTCTTTAGTTCTCCCCTTAGATGTCATTTCTTTAGGCAAACTTTTTTTGACCCTTAAAGTCTTAGTCAGGCATCCCTCTTCTGTGTTCCTATAGCTTTTTATATCCTGCCCCAGTTGTTAGAGGTAATGGACATTCCCTTCAAGCTCCTTTCTCATATATGACCTCTCCTCCCCCCTTACTCTTATGTTCTTACTTTACACATACACATACACAGAGCATTCCTGCTCTGGTACAGATATGTCGAGGCCAGAATAAATTTGTAGTGAGTGATGATGTTTTAAAGTTGGAGAACCAGAAGAAGAGGATATTTTGAGATGTTTTTCTCAAGGAATGTCTTTGGCTCTAGAAATTGACAGGGGTTGAGGAAAAACTCCAATTAAACAGTTGTTTGTTTCCTTCTTCCTGCTGGACTATATAAGTTTTTTGAAAGCATGAACTGTAGTTGTCTCATGCACCAATGTGACCCCAATATCTAGCACAGAATCTGACATATAATAGGTGCATTAAATAAATGTTTGTTGAATGAATAAATTTTCAAACATTGATTAATTAAATTATAGTGAAAGGCCAGAAGATTAAGTTATTTATTGGTGCCAAGAAAAGTGAAGCAGCTGACTAATAATCATAGCTATACTTGTTTAGCATTTCATAATTTATTTTTAAAATTTCCTTTGCGGCATCTCTTTTGGTCTCATAATTACTCTATGTAAATATCATTATTATTCAATAATCCAGAGAAGGAGACATAGTTCTAATCACTGGCAAACCAGGAAACTATTTGGGAAAATGGTTGGCTTAAAAGGGAGAAGGAAGCAGGGAATGTATTATCATAGCTCTCCCGGAGAACACATGCATTTCGCTGGAATTGGAATTGGAATCTGAGTGTTACTATTAGCCACCTCCTGCTAGAAAATAATCACACTGAACATTGTGAGTCTCTGGGCTCTTTTTCCTCTATTGAGTTCTTTATCTGTTTTGACTGGACATCTTCCAAGGGGGTGTTACCCAAAGGCTCAGAGTGAGAACAGGTTTCCAGGTCAATGATTAGAAACAATTATGTCCAAATTTCTCATTAGATGGCATAAACTAAGCAGCCCCTTTCCTCTTCCATTACTGGGTTCTTGGTGGTAAAGAGAATGCCACTTGATCTAAGTTGCAGGAGTCCCCACCTACTTATCTAACTCCTCTTATTCTCTTTGCTCCTCATATTCTCAGTGCTCCTTGGGAGAACTGCAGAGCAGGGCAGAAACTGCTAAACCTAGAAGTGACTTTATAAGTCCCAAAGAATTCAAATGTATCTTTCAATTACCAGATGAAATAAACTAGTTTGAGAGAAAGGATTATCTTCCTTGCTTCCCCACATATTTTAGTGTAGAGAGTACACATTAGAATTACCTAGATATTTTTAAAAGTATAGATGCTCAGGCCCTATTCCACAGAGAAACTAATTTAATTGGATCTACATCAAGCCCATGGCTCAGTTATTTTTTTAAAAAGCTCTCTAGGAATCTTCTTATTAGTTGTATAACCTTGAGCACTTTTTTAAAAAAGGTTTTTGACTTTAGTGAATTTATCTCCAATGTTTAGGAGAAACCCCTACAATAATGCCTACCTAAAAGAGTTAGTCTGAGGGGTGGGTAAAATCATTTGTGTAAAGTGCTTACATGATGCCTTACGTTGGCAGGCATCAGTGATTATTAGTTTCCTCGGCGCCACTGGACTTACCAAGAGCTATCACCATAAGCAATCCCGGAACTCCAAAAGCCAGTGCATAGCAGTCTCCCCCGAAACACTGCACATCTCCTAAAGAAAAAAAAAAGTAATCCTGAATCTTGAGTCCTTGGTGTTCTGCAAGCTCAAGTTTTTCAGGTTGTAGACATAGACATCCATAATCTTTCTTTGGGGTCAGACAAATCAAGATTGAAAGAGATTATCTCAGGTTTTCAAGCCCTTATAAGAGGGTGAACAGCAGGAAGTCTTGGACAGATTTTTGTCTGGCTGAGTAAAGCTCTATAGAGGGCCCCTCTGAAAAGATTCTAACCTCTTAGCATGGGTGTGACAAAGGTAGAAATCAAGCTCCCTGCATTGATGGAGAGGTAGAAGACTGAGAAGTATCTAGTCCGTTCCTCTTCCTGAAACAAAAGGAAATATTATCAGTTCAATATAACTCTTAGCTGCACTCTACCCAATCAATGTTCAGATTCAGCTGGAAGTACATTTACAGAGACAGATTCAGATATTGCCTCCCCGGTATCTGAATATTATATTAGATATTTTAAAATATACCTAGCTCACCACATACAAACATTTACCCATCTTTCAAACCTTAGTTTAAACACGAATCTTTAACATTCTTTTACCCCTTTACCATACCAAAAATAATCATCCTGTATACTATGCCACTAATGTGCTCCATATATACCTATTATAATATATATATTTTTTATTAAATGTCTGTTTCTTTCAGTAGGTTGTGAGTTCCTTTAGGACAGAAATCGTGTGTTACTCATTTCTGTAATCCCCGCTGTCTTCCATAATACCTGCATATATTACAGACTAAATAGATATTTATTGACCAAATTAAGCAAATGATTGACTGAGTTAGAGAAAATATTTTGTGGAATGTGTGGTAGGAATAGGATTAGAACATAGGACAGTGAAGTAAACTGCTGATCAAGTAATTTACCTAGTGCTTATGGGAAGTCTGCCAGAGAGTATAAAAGGAAGTCCATGGTCTTAGAGGTGGCTGATGGAAACTTGGAGATGGGTTTGTCCTATGATTAAATATCTTTGTGGAACAGTTACCAAATGAAGCAATTTTCAAATAAAGTTGCTAATGCTTTATTCATTCATTGCATACTGCTGTGTTTCATTTTGCCACCCAGATCTTTTCCTGACACAGAACAATCTGTCCTTCCCATTTTCTATTTTACAGTATGTTTCACTTCTTCTTCTGCTCCCTATTTAAACCTTATTTCACACACATATTTGTATAGTTCATAGTGTATAGAATCCCACTTGCCAAAGTTTTGTTATTTCTCCAAATTATGAACTCTGGACCCCAGACATATAAAGAATACAAAATGATCGCTAAATGGTCTGAAGGATAAAAGACCATTTGAGTTAATACCACAGGAAGACAAGACACAGAGAGACACCAGAGAGAAAAAAACCTAGAAGCATGATAAATAGCTATAGAAGAGGGAATATATACATGAAGACAGACCCCCCCCCCAAAAAAAACACACACACACAAAAAAAATCTGAGAGCAAAAAACAAAGCCAGAAAATTCGGCTAATCTAAGAATAGAGTTTCCCTTGCTCAGTTCTCACTACTTCCTCATACAAGATCAATTTTACTTCTTTTATACTGTTTCCCCCACCACCACCACCACCATTGACAATGTAAAGTATTTAGGAAAAGAGAGAATGATCATCCATGCCAGTGATTTTCAACCTTTTTCATCTCATGGCATACATAAACTAATCACTAAAATTCTGCAGCACACCAAAAAACACATTTTTTTTTTTACCAATCTGACACACACACAAAATAGATATAATTTTGATTCATTCACACCAGATGACTATTGTTGTGTTGGCTGTTGTCATTTTTTATTTGACAATCTAAAGGAAAAGAGGTCAGTACTCCTGAGTAAATAGTCAGGTATTGCATGTTCATAAAATTATTGTGGCACAGTGGTTGAAAATCCCTGATCTAGACAAGTTCATCTATAGAAACTCATTCTGCTTGGTCATTTTGCCCTTTCATAGAATCTCAAAGTTAGAGATACTTAAATCACCTTTACACTACTCATCCCTTCCCATTCCCAATGTGCTTATGACATTTTTTTCCTAAATGCTTCAAGTGAGAGTAAATTCACTACTTCAAACTCTATTTGAAGTTTTTCCTTCTTTCAAGCAAAAAGCTAGTTTCCTATAGCTTTCACTCATTGGCCTCACCTGACATCTGTCCAAAATCTATAGAAAGCTATATTTTTCATTCTTCTTGAAGCTAAATATTTCCATTTCCCTCAACCTTTCTTCATAAGATGTGTCTTTTTTAGGACATCTACCACCCTGGTCACTTTCCTTTGAACATTTTTCAGTTTTTCTCTCTATTAATGACCCATACCCAGAATGGAACATAACTCCTCAGATATCATCTCACCAATGTTGGCAAATGGCTACCTGCCAGGTACCTCTTTTAACATCTGCTCTGTAGTCTTGGAAATACAGGATTAACAGGACTCTTACATGTGTTTTTTCAAACTGGTCTCCACCAAAAGCTGCCACACAGGGTTTGATACCTCCTGTTCCCAAAGCTATTAGACTCAGGCCGACCAATGATAGGACTCTGAAATGCAGAGGTGAGGACACTAACCATATTGATATTAAACACAACAGTAAAAACTGAATATAGGGCTACAGGAGGGAAAAAAGTATACATGTAAAGATCCCTTTACATTTCTAACCTGTGAGCACTCTCCATCTGCCTTCACTCCCAGGAAAGACTTGGGGGTACTTAAGAGCTTTGTGACCCTTGAGCCTCTCCCAGGAAGTATTTATTACATGGGAGGATTTTGTCCCTGACATTTCCATTTATCCCTTGTGTACAACAAATAGAAGTAGATACTCAAGCAACTTCAAAATTAAAGCTCTGGTTATCAATTTTGTCTTAGTCAAAGAGACACTTCAATATAAAGACCTTATGAACCCTTATCCCACATACCATTACTGAACACAAAACAAAATGAAAAATCCATCATAATTATTAGAAGTGTCATTGATTTTTGGAGGGACACCAATAAGAAGGTATCTAATAATTATTAAATTCCAAACAAAATTCTTAACTCACTGGATAAATACATGTATAGGCACATTATAAACATGAATACATGTGTCCTGGTTCTTGAACAACTGTAATCCTCTTTGGTGACTGAACCATCAGACATAAAAAGCTATCAAATACTTCTTGCCCATAAACATCAGTAGCTTTAGTAAAAATGGATAGAGCAACTGCGACATATGCAACTAAATATAAATGGAAAATATCCAAGCTTTGAATATGACTTCTACAATGCATTATAAGAAAATGTTACAGACATTTTTTTAACCCTGGTAAAGTACAGATGCATGAATGGATGAATAAGTGAGGGAATATGGAGGACAAAATAGTTTTAATGATTGCCTTCAAGCATACGATGAGTTTTTATGAAGAGGATACCAACTAGGCATTCTAAAAGTCCCCAAATATTTAATAAAAACAAATGAGTTCAGATAAAGTATGAAAGAGTTCAACTTGTAAATAACTTCTTCTTAACCAATTTGGTAATAAAACAACAGTTGGCTGTAAAATAAAGGGATATCTCTGGTAAGAAAATACAAAATAATCTGTAATACAAGTATAAGAGGTTTACCTAATGGAAGAAAAATGGTCCAGTTTATTCCATGATTTTACTCACGTGTGTACCATGTGTCCCCCCAGTATTGGTAAGGCACCCAAGGACTTGATCACATGGCCAAGTACATACACCAAAGATAGATACATAATTGTCCTGTTGAGAGAGTTAAATTAGTCATTCCAAACAGAATTCAGAGACTTAAGTAATACAGACTCAGAGTTCATACTATTCTCAGTGCCAGAATAAATAAAGTGAAAAGAGAAAGGGGTGGAGGAGGAAAAAATTTCCTGAGAAATGCAAATAGAAATAATAATGGCAAATGAAGTAAACAGACTAGAAAAAGGGAGAACTCTTTACCTTGAGTGTTAGAGGTAATGGACATTCCCTTCAAGCTCCTTTCTCATATATGACCTCTCCTCCCCCCTTACTCTTATGTTCTTACTTTACACATACACATACACAGAGCATTCCTGCTCTGGTACAGATATGTCGAGGCCAGAATAAATTTGTAGTGAGTGATGATGTTTTAAAGTTGGAGAACTAGAAGAAGAGGATATTTTGAGATGTTTTTCTCAAGGAATGTCTTTGGCTCTAGAAATTGACAGGGGTTGAGGAAAAACTCCAATTAAACAGAAAAAAGGAATGGCTAATACAAACTCTCTCTAAACCCAACCATTAAGATATAGAGAGAGGTAAATGGCTCTCAGATTCAGCTTAGTCACTTGAACACTTGGTTTCATTATAATATCTGCCACAGTTACTTCATGGGCAATTAAAAATGGAGCCATGGGCTCTGAATAGACTTGCCAGTGATAAAGATCATACAGCTGGTAGGGACTGTCTGTTGTGTTGTTTTTCCTGAAATCTGAATGGCAAATACAAAGTAGAAGAGTGCGGAATTCTGGTAAGAATGTATGTAGAACTATAAACATTGAAATAAGGCATACGGCCACATATACAATACACTTCTTAGGTATATCACCACACTAGCAATCTCTTTATATATAAGTAGAATGTCAGTTCTAGAAGGAACCTTGGAAATTATATAGTTTACATCTGTAATTTTAAAGTATTACATGTTAATGTGGAATATAAAGAAAGGAATGAAGGAATCAGAGAGAGGCTAAAGATACCAGAAACTTAGGATGTGGATTTCTCATTTTAAATATCGAATTTTCCTAGGTTGGCTCTCCAGGGAAGGGATCTTAGAAGGCTTATAACGGCAAGTAGGGGATAAAAAGTTGGGTGACTAATTAATATCAGAAGGAGGGGCCAGGGTTTCGCAAAACATTTTGGAGGGCCTTCTAGAGAAAAGTTCTCTTTGTTGGAATAAAAAGAAAAAATTAGAATGAAAAAGGACTGAAAAAAGGCCAGCTCTCATGAGCCCAAAAGAGATGATCTATGCTAGATCATCAGACAGAAAAATCAAAAGGAGTCTGAGCTGGAGTAATAGAGTCTGACTAGGGAGATCAGAGCAATATCAAGTTATTGGACTAAATAAATAAGAGAAGTGTAAGTGGCGTAGAAGGAAAATAGGCAACTTTCTAGGTAAAAGACAGGGAATTAGTCTAAAATATGGAGAACATAAGAGAGGAATCTAATGGCAGGAAATTAACAGAAGGAGAAAGAAGTCAAGAGAGACATGGAAAGCCCACATTTGAAATGAGATCACTGGAATCATTGTAATTCAAACCATATAACACAGAACTGTGTTAGATAGACTTGACCTAGCTTCCATTTGCAAATGAGGAAAATGAAATCCAGAGAGATCAAAGGGCAGTCCTAAAGTGACAATCCAATTAGTATTTGCATTAGGTCTAGAACTTCTACTTTCTACATAGTCCAGTGTTCCTTCAGGTTTTTCATGAACAAGTTAATGTGGAAAAAGACAAGGAAATAGAAGACCTTTTAAATTTTATTTCACCACCAGAAGTAATTTTTAATTAGAGTTTAGGAACTGAGGGGTATGTGTGGTGATGGCAAAGGAAGAGATCTAGTGTGAAGAGAGTAATTTCTGACCAGACAAAAAAGATAGGAGAGGGGAGGAAATGCTATAGACCCACTAAGGAGAAAGAGAAAGAAGTGTAGAGAGGACATCCAAAAGCATATTTGACAATAAAGACATTTAAGAGGGTGGTTGTGATTGCCAAGGTTGAGTCCAGACTGATAGGCATGGGTCACAGGGTATAAAAAACCAACACTAGGGATAAAAGTCATCTTCATGCTTGCCCACAGCTATCCTCAGTCTTGTGCCTACATTTGAGTATCTGAGGGTGAATAAATTTATTAGTTGAAACATTTATCAGGCACTCTTCTAGGTGCTGTGGATAAAAATATATATGAGACTTTATTTTCTCTTCAGAAGAAAATATTAGACATATACAAATAACTATAATAAGATAGAATTTGGTAAATGTCATGTGAGGGCAAAAAATAAAAGTTCAGAGAAGATTAGGTTACTTCTGACTAGTAGTAAGAGTGAAGGGCAGAGAATAATCCATAACATAGGTGGCCTTTGAACTGAGCCTTACAGGATTTGGACAAAGGAGGATGGGGAGGAAGGAAATTTCATGAAGTAGAAACAGTGCAAACAGACGTAGAAAATGTTTGCACTGACTATTGTTAGGGGAACTTTAGTAGTATTCAGTTTTTCTTTAGTAAAGTCTTGAAAGGGAGTATGACAATAAGAGCAGGAAGGTCAGTGGGGATGAGATTAGTAACAATGGGTGAGTCAGCAGAAAATTTTGAGCAAAGTAGCAATGTGAACAGAGATTTCTTTCAGGAAGATTAATTTGGCAGTCCTGTATAGGCTCAATTGTAAGAAAAGGATATGGGAGGCAGTGATGACATTGTAGGTGTCCAGTTCAATAGCCCAATTTAGAGGTAATGAAGACCAAAACTCGAGTTGTGGCAGTTAATGGCAGTGAGAATCACTGTTGAAGAGGGAAAATGTGAGAGATATTATAGAAATAGAATTGGTAGAATTTGATAACTGATTGAATGTGAGCGTATAGGTTTGGGAAGTAAGGATAAGGTGGAACATCCAGGCGATGAATGGCACTATGCAGTTATAATGCATACTGAACTTGAATGAGAAATTAAAATTACAGAGTTGGAGAAGCTATCTGCATATTGCTAATATTGACGCCTTAGGATCTGCTAAAAGAGAATTTGGAGAAATAGGAGACAGTAAAAAAATATACCCTGGGGAATTGCCTACAGTCAGGAAAGAGTGAAGTAAACAAAAGGCAAAAAGCCAAATAAGGAAGAATCCAAAAAAAAAGTATGAGGAAAAAATCAGAAAATGCAGTGTTAGAGAAGCCCATGAAGTTTCAAGAATATAGGAGTAATAAATAGACTGAAATGTTAAAATAAGTTTAAAGTGAATAAGAATCTAGAAAGTACTGCTGGAATTTGTCAACAAAGAGATCACTATCACCCTAGCTGGTTTTGCTCAATGGTTAGAGGATTGGCTCGAGGACCAAAGGGTCTTGGGTTCAATTTCCAGTCAAGGGTACATATCTTGCAGGAGCCAACCAAACAGTATGTCCCTCGCACATCAATGTTTTTCTCTCTCTCCCTCCCTTCCACTCTCTCTAAAAATCAATGGAAAAATATTTCTGGTGAGGATTTTTTTAAAAAAGAGAGAGATCATTATCAATGATCTTAGAGAGAGGCATTTCAATAGGATAAAGAGATCATTTATGCTATATTTTATTGTACTTACCACAATCTGCTGCTCTTCATTAAAGACAGTTGAATATGAACAGTGTGAAACAGGTATTTGTGTCTTATTCATCTCTTTACCCCCCCCATGCTTGTTTGAACAAATAGAAGTTTGATAAACATTTATTGAATTAAATTCTATCAGATTAAATTGAATTGGATTCTATTGCATTACATTATATCAGTCTGCCCTAAGGAGTGATAATGAAGAGTGAGAAAAGAAGGCAACAAATATAGATGATTCTTTTTAAAATTTGGAGATAATGATAATAAGACAAAGAAGACAGTTTGAAAGGAGGGTTAACAATAGTCTTGTTTGTTTAAAGGTCTCAGAGATTTGAACAGGCTTCTAGGTACAGGAAAAGACCATCTCTATGAGAGAATTTGAAGGCGAGAGAGAGGAATATTGAGAGTACAAAAACTCTAGGGAAAGTAAGCTAGGTAATGGTGACACATATGTGAAAATTCATCAAACTTTACACTAAGACTTTTGGATTTTTGTATTTTATTTTAATTATAACTCAATAAAAAATTTTAAAAAATAAAGAATACCTCAAAAAGGATTGCGATTGAGGGCATAAGTAGAGGTTGTAAAAAATATATATAGTTAAAATAAAAAAATCGTTAAAATTAAAAAAAAGTAGAGGTTGTTATATTTCAGAGGTCCTCAAACTTTTTATAAGTACCGCGCGCTAACCGATTTCGCCACTGGAGCTCCCCTCAAACTTTTTAAACAGGGGGCCAGTTCACTGTCCCTCAGACATTCCACACATGCGCACTGCGGGCCCGGGACGTCGGCTGCTAAGCAGGACAGGCAGCGGCGATAAATGTTTTCAGTGGGCCACATGTGGCCTGCGGGCCGTAGTTTGAGGACCCCTGTTATATTTCCTCTGAAATAGACAGGAAGCTATTGTTCACCATACCCAAGAACTATACTCCAACTTCAAAGGAAGTCATTTTTAAAAGTCAATGGAAGTACTGGTTATGTATGTGAGTCTTTTATTCTATAACTGAATAGAGACCATGGCTTATGCTTTTTATTTTGCATATAGTGCCAACCCCCTGTTTGGATGGACTTGGTAACTAATACTATAGAAGGAGCAAACATAGATCTCAGCTACCTACGTACCGCCCCCCTCTCAAGTAAAAACAAAACAAAACTGTTTAGTACTTTACATATAGGTTGTAGTTATTATAAAGTGCTGATTAAATACTTTAGAACAATGATTATATAGAGGCCAAAGTGAGACATAAGCCAGTGTTTCCTAAGAGAATTCTTTGAAACACTAGGTCCACAAGATACCCTGAAAAAAATACCCTTTGGTCAAACAAGTTTGGGAAACACTATGTGCCATAACCTTCTCTTTGAGATTTTCCAGTGCATATTAGCATGTTAAAGGCTATAAGAAATCACGCAGTAAAGAAACATTTTAAGCTGTGTTCAGCCTAGCATTTTTCAAACTTATTTCGCCATGAGGTCATTATCTTCCTATATAACACTCATTATTATCCTATACAGCAGATTTTCAACAGAATGTACTTTGAGAAATGCTAATTCAGATAAATCCATAGGTGACAAGTCCACAGAAAATAACGGGGAGATGGATATCTAAACTCCATCTCTAGCCTATGAGGATAATGTTACAGAGGACAACTATAACATTATCCTATAAATGTCTCCTGGTGCTAATTTCAGGAACTTAAAAGATACTGAACTGAACAGACCATTAGTCTAACTCATAAAACTGTTTAAATTATTAAGAAGAAAACTACAGGAAGAGGTTAGAGAAGAGAATACGAGTTGGTACAAGAACCAAAAAGAGGGACTCGTAGATATTGACGGAATTGGGATGATTCAATATGGAGAAGAGATGGCGAGTATATCAAATAACTACACTGACGTCTCTAAAATTATAAATTTTCTGCTGGTTAGCAATCTTTATTTTCCCTGAGATCAGAACAAGAATTAGTCTTAGACTAGAAGATAGAAGGTTAAAATTAGATTTAAGAAAAACAACAACTCCTGATTGAAAAGGATGTAAAAATATTGGAAAAACTGATAATGAAAAGAAATAGCTTTTCTATGTGTCTGTCTTAGAAGATTCTATCTGTCATGGATGATATGGTGTGTTCTTGCTTGGGAAAAGAGGCTCTAAGTGGTAACCTCTGTGAAATTAATCTGTAAAACTTCTGGGGGTGTGATCTTCCATCTTCCTTACTTGAATTTTCCCAACCATGAGTCAGCAATGACGGCTCCCAGAATGGGAGTGAAATAACAGAGGCTGCTGAAGGCATGGTATACAGATGTGGAGGTGTCTTCATTCCAGTGCAGGAAATACAGGAAATACAGGGTCAGCACAGCTGAGGTGGGAAAAAAAATGGAGGCAAAGTAAGATAGGTGCATTAAAGTGACTTATGGAAGAGAAGTACATTTGCTCTATGGTCTTTGAAGGTGATCTTAACCTTCAACACTCCTAGTAGTGAAATGACTGAGGAGTGACTCCCAGGCAGTAGAAGCAGTGCCCATGGGAGCTGTGAATGGGGTGGTGCTTAGTGTACAAATGCAATACTCCTCCCTTCAGTCTATGTTCACACATAGCATCATCTAGGCCAATCATAAAGAATATGATGCTTCTAATATACCTTCCATCTCCTTTTCAGCAACAATCCTATGTAATAAAATGCTAATATGCAAATCGACCAAACAGGGGAATGACCAGTCACTATGACGCTCACAGACCACCAGGGGGAAGATGCTCAACACAAGGAGCTGCCCCCTGGTGGTCAGTGCACTCCCACAGGGGGAGCGCCACTCAGCTAAAAGCGGGACTCAAGACTAGCGAGCACAGTGGCGGTGGTGGGAGCATCTCCCGCCTCCACAGTAGCGCTAAGGATGTCCAATTGCCGCCTTAGGCCCGCTCCCCATCAGTTGGACATCCCCCGAGGGCTCCCGGACTGCAAGAGGGTGCAGGTGGGGCTGAGGGACACCCCCCCCCAAGTGCACAAATTTCATGCACTGGGCCTCTAGTACATTCATAAAACTAATATGAAGAATGGAACTCAGATGGTGAGTGTTCTCCCATTTCGATTCTCACAGATTGTGTTCTGGTTTCTATTAGTCCTTTCTATGCTTGGCCTGTATCCGTTATAGGTAAAATCCCATGAGGCATTTATTGGAAGTCCTGGCCAAAGGAAGGGCCCAATTTGGATGAAGACAGAAAGAGTGGATAAGGGAAATAAATGCATACAAGAAAACTAGACATTACAAACATGGAGTGAGGGTGCACGGAGAAGACTTTGGGACACAAAATTACCTTTCATTCCATAATAGGAAAAGCGCTCACAGAATTCATTCACCACAATGAAGATAATGCTCAGTGGATAGTTGGAGCCACAGATTTTCTATGAAGCAGAAAGACAACGGTTCAAGCATGAGCTTCTCATTTAAATCTCTACCATTCCACAGCAGAAAAATGCATTTCTTTTAAGTCACCATGATAGGTAATGTGAGGCAATGATGCCTACTCTTCAAGAAACAGCTATTATCTACTAAAAGTGCTTGCATTGATTGCTGATTTAGGAATGATAGAAGCTATTATGAACATTACTTGTTCTTCATTCATTTAATATGGAACTGCTCAGACATTCCTTGATCCTAGACCCAGGATTTGCTTATCTTCCCATCACTACTAACTGAAAAGCCTGGGACTCTGGGCAGAATACTTACTATATCTAGGAACATAATGAAGAGGTGGCTATCGATAGATTAAAAACCCTCCTAAATATTAATATACTAGAAGCCCAGTGCATGAATTCATGCACCAGGGAGGTCCCTCAGCCTGGCCTGCAGGATCGGGCTGAAACTGGCTTTCCAGCATCCCCCAAGGGGTCCTGAATTTCAAGAGGGCACAGGCCAGGCCAAGGGACCCCACCAGTGCACGATTGGGGCCAAGGAGGGATGTGGGAGGTTGGCCAGCCAGGAGGGACTGCAGGAGGGCTCCAGGGCATGCCCAGCACATCTCACTCCATCCGGATCGGCCAGACCCCAGCAGCAAGCTAACCTACTGGTTGGAGCATCTGCCCTCTGGTGGTCAGTGCATGTCATAGCAACTGGTCAACCGGTCGACTGTCTGCCCCCTGGTGGTCAGTGGACGTCATAGAGAGCAGTTGAGCGGCCTTAGCATATCATTAGCATATTACACTTTGATTGGTTGAACGGCCGACTGGACTACCGAACACTTAGCATATTAGGCTTTTATTATATAGTATGTTAATGTATGATAATAACTTGCTTGAAAGACACAATGAATTGACTTATAACCTTCCCAGCTCACAGCTTGAGAATTCTGCAAGCTGAGGTTTTGTTAATACACTTTCACTAGCTATGTTACATTGTCCCTGGCTGGGGGAACATATTGACCCTGGCCATGTCACCACACCTGTCTTTATGCTTCAGGTCTGTTATTTCAACAAAATGAGAATACTACCACCTCTTGGCCCATATTTAAGAACTTAGTAGATATTGTCCATTATTACTGTATCCTCTTCATTACAGGATTTTGATGTGAGAATTGAATGAGATAATGAATTTGGAAGTGCTTTAACCATTATTACTTCTTTGTTTTTCTATCCTGCCTCCCACTGTAAACTTGAACACATCGTAAGTACTGAATCTATTCTCAAACTTCTCTTGGTGTCCAGCTTAAGACTCTGGACACGGGGAACTAAGGGCTGTGTTTTTATATTGGTAAAGAAAGAACAATCACACACAGTTCTCTAGCACAGGAGTGCTTGCCAAGTTTCCCTGGACTTTCCCATTGCTTTTTCTTTTCTTCACAGAGAAATTCAGAATATACATACAATGAAACATAGCAAAGTCCTGGGTCTCAAATGAAAAATTTTGACGATCTCTTTCTGCTGCTTCCCCTCCCAAGTAAAAGAAACCTGTTTAGGTTTTCATGTTAATTCTAACTCCAAGAAAGAATAGTTTTTAATCCCTATGACATCTCAGCCTAAAGCTCCAAGAAGCCAAAGAAGAGAACCAAAAGAACAAGCTTGTTCCTGTCTAAGGCAGACAGGAATCTGGGGACTCACCGGAGGTGGCTTCTTTGGAAAGCTGGGAGGTGGAGGTGGTACCTCTTCAGTGGAGACAGGTGAAAAAAAAGTTTCCTTGGACTCATTTTTCTGGAAGGGATTCATAGCTGGCTCCTTACTCGCTCTCTCTCTTCAAGCATTTGGCTTCGGTAAGCACTTGGGACAGCTGCCAGCCTACTGTGAAAAGTGGGACTGACTGGGAGGGGAAAAGGGGTGGCTTCAGAAACTAGGTTTAACCCTGTAGGTGTTGGCTTGAGCAACTGCCTGACCCAGAGCAAAGCATAAATCTATAGGAAAAGAAAGTGTTGGGTCTTAGAGACTAGTTCAAAAGAATAATTATGTAAAAGGAGAATTGTGAACAACACATCATAAGATGGGAAAGACAATGCTGGAGAATTGCAAAAGAATGCATAATAGTTAAGAATGCAATCCTTCAAACATAGATTTAAGCATTGATTTCTGGATAACAACAGTTGCCACTTACTGAACACCTATTATAAACAATCTATACTAATAAAGAGCTAATATGCTAATGGTCAATACGCCGTAATGGTAATGACCAGATCATTAGCATATTAGCTGA